CACTCTCTGATTTTACTCTCTCATCACTCTGTCTGCTATCAGCTGAGCATTGTGATGGGAAACTAAACATATCTCTGATCACTGGACTTCAAGTTTAGTAAACTTTGAATATTTTTCTACGTTCAACATTTTCACTAATTGCATAGATACGTTTAATGATAATTTCTTCTCCATTAATTTCTTCTTCTTCTTTAGGGAAGAAAAATGCTAATTGTTTTTCAGTCAAAACGCTTAACCCTTCTTTTGGCATTTTATTTTATTTCTTTTTCTAGTTTTTTTCAATAATTTTCTTTTATTTTTTTTAAATTATTATTTTATTATTAAACCAATAACAAAAAAATCATTACAATTTACTTCGTTATTTCACATTGTTTTTGTTGTTTGTGTTGTTGGTATAATTCCATATTCATTAATACTAAACATGGAAGTAATAATATTCCAATAGCAGCTATACAAACAAGTAATGAAAAGAATGGATGAATAAAAAATTCACCATGTGTATCATATGGGAACCACTTCATATCGAATGCGTTGTGGTCATCTGTTGCAAAACAATACACTACATAAAATAATAAACTTGCTATCATGAAGTAAAAAAAAAGAGATATTGAAATGCCATTTTAATCAAGAAAATAATATTATAAAATAAATTTATTATTAATTATAATTTCTTTTAAAAATACCCTGTTAATATTTTGTGATATAAACCAGAAAAAAAAAAGAAAAGCAAAAAGAAGAGAATTACAACGGTGAGCATATGGATAAAACAAAGATTTGAATTGTTGTTCCAATTATTGAACCAAGAGATATGATAATTAAAGTAACATTAGTACCAACTTTTTCTTCTACGTGTTTTGAAATTTTAAGTATTGAATGAGTTACAAGATAACCTTGGGTTATACCTAGTAAAAGAGTACATACAACATTAATCAATCCGAAAAGATATCCAGTGCTTTGAACCAATGGATCATTTTCATTATCAGTAATAATAAACAAATTGCCAATATTCATTACTGAACAAAATAAAGTAAATATTGTTAACCGTGTAATACTTGAACCAAGTAATGATTTTTTTGATGGTTCAATTGGTAAAAATGTTAGGATAGAACCAATTAAATCAAACGCAGTAAATACAAATGTTACAAGATTTAGATGGTAAGTATAATGAGGATTATCAACCACCCTACCATCATAGTTAATTGTTGTTACACTAAAATTATTTAACATTCCTGGATAAATATAACTTGAACAAATTGAAACAAAAAGAAGAGAAAGGGTAGAATATTTTAATGTTACAACGACGTTCTTAATTTCTAATAAAGATGCTTTAGTAGATAAAAATAATCTTCTAATTCTTGATGGAATTCTATTATTAATAGAAAGAAATGAAGTCTCTTCAGTAATATGAAATAAAGAATGGAAATGAGGAATAGTTTTATAACAAAAGAAGAAATAGACAATAATTATTAATGGAATAATTAATACACCAACACAAACAATAATAAGATACATCCACTTATTTGATTCACTAGATGTAGTGTCAATAAGATTAATTAATGAAGATAGAAAAGGTCCACCTGAACTACCAACCATATAAGCAATTAAGTGTTGTGGTGAAAGTGTTGAAGAAATATAAATGAATGTAGAAAAATTAATTGCAGATAAACATCCGTTAATTAATGAAAGTACTGAAATTGCAATACTTTGAACAGTATGCATTGTGTTTTGATCCAAATAGTTAAACAGTCTCATTACAGGAGGAAATAAAGGTGTCATAACAAAAGTTAATACATATTGTCCAATTAAAGAAATACATGAAAATGAAAAATATGGATATTTAGGAGTTACAAATGATAAAAATACAAGCAACACAATTGTAGTTCCATTAGAAAGATAAAACAAGTTAGGAAGATAATAAAATAATGATACATCACCTAACTTTGTTCCAATTTCAATTGATGCCCCAGCTATAATATTCCCATGAAAATTATAGCAAACACCCAATAAAAAGCAAAGAATGAATGTTAGTGTATTATGTTTCTTTGATAAATCAGGATTTAAAAAGGAATGTTTTATAGACCTTTGTAATGATGAATCAACACTAATTTCTGATGCGTTAGTTAATTGTAATCCATCTGTTGAATAAATATAATTACTATCAGAATAATATGTGGATGGTTGTAACATTTATTAAAAATGTATTAAAACTTTATTATAAGTTTATCTATTTTTTTTCTTAAAAATTTTTAAAATGATTTTTGTTATTATTATTTTTTAATTATTATTTTGTTATTTAAAACTTTTTAATTTTAACAAAAATTTTTTAACACAAAAGAATTGAATGAAAAGAATTAATAACAAATTTTATTTGACATAGCCCAAACCAATAAGATAATTAATAATCTTCATCAAATTGGACTACATGAACAGCTTTCGGTTTTGCACATGGATGAAATGATTCAAGTGGAATATAAGAATCATCTTCTTTCCATTCATTACAATTACTGATACATATGGAAAAGAATAAATTCACATCATTATTTAAATCACAATCTTTTCTATTATAAATATCATCTGGTTCAAGCTCAGTATTGTGTTTATTAAGGTCCTGAAATTTAGAGCGTTTCAATGGTGAAGCCATTGTAAAATGTATTATTTAGTTCTCTCCGATTAGTTTAATAGACAAAATCTTTAGTTTCCTAAAGTACGTGTTCATTAAAATAGGTTCTTCTATTACTTCTATTGACTTTTCTTGATTTTTATGCTTCATTTTTTTCACATTAATTTCTATTTATTCCTTTCTACAATTTCAAAATTAGTTATTACAAAATTAAACTTCATCTTCTTTTCCATTTATTTTTTCCTTTTACAATTAAGTTTCATTATTCTGTTTATTATTTCAATAAAAGATTTAGTGTAAAAGTAACTTTTCGCTTATTGTTTGTTAATAGTTATTTTATATTAAAATATTTAATTAATAAGAAGTTTCAAAAATGGAATTCATACAACTGAAAGATATTAATTTGATGTTTATTTCTGTTATATAAAACAAAATATCTCTATTTAATAAAAATGAAAAATTAAGAATGAAAAAAAAATTCTTCATTGAGAGATCTTTTGAGATTCCTTTATTAACTTAAGAATTTTATCTGACTTTTAGAGAGACACTTTATACTATTCAGAAAAGGTCTTTTCTTTGATTAATACCATAACTTAGATTTATCAAAAATATCTAAATATTATTTATTTTTAATGAATAGTACAGTATTAGCTCTTCAACTAAGTACACCTCCTATTGTAATTTCTGAACGTCAATCACCACCATTGGCTGTTCACCAGTCACTTCAAGGAATGAATGAGGCTATAGAAAGTTCTTCTTCTCTTTCAGGTTCTGGAACTGTATCTCCAGCCCTATCTCCTAGAATACAAACAACTAAAAAAGGTGCAGAGAGGAACGAACAACTATATCAATTACAATCAATGCTATTAACGCCTCCATCATTTTTACTTCAAGCTTATATAAAAGCAGTTTGTTATTTTATTTTCCTATTTTTCAACTTAGAAAGTATTTAAATCTAAACACAATTAAAATTAAGATGAATTTATCACTAGTTATTAAAGAAAGAGATTAATGACTCTTCTCATTTTGACATGTTATTTCATTATTTCAAATGTAGAAAGCAAATACCAAGATTACTTCATCAAATGGCAGAACTTGAAATTGAATGGACCAAGAAGTGTAATCCATTATTCAGAGGGAATACAGCTTTCACAAAGGCATATTCATTGTATTTAAAAGAAAGTTGTGGGATAGTTATTGAAAGTATTACTAATAAATTTAATAAAGTAATTCAAAGAGTTCAAACTGACCAAAGTTTATTAAATGAGGTTGAACAAGAATCTGCTGTTTCAACGTATTGTAGACTATTAAAAGAAGCACTTAGTAATATTCCTAAAGACTTATTTTATATATTAAATGGTATTTATGAATTAACTAAATTAAAGAGAAATGAAGAAGAAGCAAGAAAAGCAATTAACACCCTTCTTTTTATGAGGTTCCTTTACACACCACTTATTCAATCACCATCTTTATTTAAAAAAATACAGACTATCATCTCCTCTATTGTATTAAACAAAGAGGTTAAAATAACAGATAAAAATATAGAAGGGATTGATGAAATAATTAAATCAATCATCAAAGGGTATTATGTCCCTTCTACATCACTTATATCAAGTTCTGAAGAAGAACTTGAAACAACAGGAAAAGAAATGATGAAAATTCTTCAATTAAATAAAAAGAAGATAATAAAAAAGTATCTTGGAGATGATAGAGACCTTAACTTCATTATCCAAACTAATTCTAAAAAACAAATACATTCAGAAAATATTATCACTCATTTTATGAAATAAAAATTGGTTGTATTAGAAAGAGAAATAATTTTAACTATTTATTATGATTTAACGTTTATATAAGAACATATATTAATACATTAGTTTAATAAGTTATTGTATATAATTAAAGAAGATGAACACTTATAAGCTAAAGAAATTCAACGAATATTTATTAATGCCTTACTTTTAAATATAGTAGTGCTTGCAATAATTTTATAGAATGTAATCCTTTTATTTTAAACTATTGTATTAGTAGGACATTTTTGATGACTTATGTTTTTATATTTATTTCATTTTTAATTTAATTTATTTTTGAATATTTAACTTATTTTATATACTTTTCTTTAAAAGGTTGTACATTCCTTATTCATTGTTCTCAGTATGATTTTTAAGTAATTATTTTAGTTAATGACAAGCAACTACTCAAACATTTTTGTACTTCCATTTTCGTGGAATTTATTTATTTCTTATTGTTCAATAAAAAACAACTTTAATTCAAGGTAAAATGTTTTATATAAAAATGTCCTTCATACTACTATGTCAATCTCATTAGCTTTTCTATATCTATATATAAACCCAAGAATCTATTAATAATATCTTCATTTGTTGATAAACACATTACAGTTTCTTGTTATTTTGTTATATTATTTGTATTATTATTGTTCATTAATGATACAATGTATTTGATATATTCTCTATTAAATCAATTTTATTGAAAAATGAATGACTATTATGATTAAAGAAAATTGAGATGAGTTAATAATTTACTTATTGTATTTTGAAATAAATGGTTAAACTATTTTGCTTGATTTTCAAATTATTATTTATTCGGTCATTTTTTACTTATCATTTTATTCCTTCTTTATTTAATTAATACAACATTTCATAAACTTTAATATTACAGTATCAATGATAATCGTTGTATTATTTTCATTAAAATTACATTTTCATAAATACTGCTAAATTTCAGAAATTAAACTTGTTGAGTTATTATTTTATTCATCTTTTCTTTTATTTTTCATTATTTCATTATTTGATTTTATTTTCATTTCTTCTGCTTTCATTTAATCAATCTATTTTCATTTTATTTTGTTTGATGTAATAACAATATTCTACCATTGAACTAATCATAATGAATATTTAAAATATACCATGATAATAATCTTCTTTAAAATATAAAACAACTTCAGTATTTTCTAATATATTATCACTAAACTTGTTAATTAAGTAATTAAATAATAAATAAAAACTATTATTAAAATGGACACTTATTGTATTTATTACAATAGTAATGATTATTTTTAATATGTATTTATCTCAATTATGAATGTTATAATAAACAATTTTATTGGCTAAATATAAAAATGATTGTAATAAATTAATGACGTTATTTATTAACTTAGATGAATAATAATAATCTTAGTATTAATATAAACAAAAATAAAGAATGAAGAAAATTATAATTATCATTAATATTTTATTTAAAAGATAATTTGTTATTTTATGAATGCATGAATAATAATTAATATTAAAATCATAA